TCAGACAAAAAAAGACAATAGCACTCCCAAGGAGGGTTGACGTCAGGCAGGCGGCCGGTCGTAAAACTTTTGCCAAATCCTATCAGCAGTACACTGAAGATGTACTGCGCCGACCCCAAGTGATTTGGGAAATGGGCAGGAAGAAGAAGAAGAAGACTGTATATAATTTTATATGCATTTAGTAAAAAGCTGTTATTTTGACATTACAAACAGACATTTCAATTTTATTTATCTATATAGATGTACTAGTTTTTTTCCGTGGACAAATGGTTGATAATATAATCGTTTCATTCTTTTTCTAAAATTAAAAGAAATTTAATTTTACACCTTTCTTTTTACACCTAGAACACTTACATAAATGTAAAAAATCCAGATTCCAAGCAGAATTATATAACAGTTTACGAAGAACTTTAAAAATACTATGTACGTTTATATTTAAATATGTTAAATAATTCATGACATCTTTAGTGGGAAATATTTATACGTAGTTCCTTTATCATATTATTATAGTTTATAGTATAGACACGGTTATGTTACATAACATAACCGTGGTATAGACGTACAATCTATACTAATAATATATGAATGGTTATTTTTGTTTGTTCGCAGTGAGATTTAGAAAAATCTATTTTATATTCAAATTCAATTCAATATTATATTGTACTATAGTATTAGATGAGGATCGTGACCACTTATGATTTTTTTACCAGTCAGTTCGGTTCAACGATACTGCGGTATGGAGAGTAGCGCCCATTGCCTTCTTTATCGCGTCCGACCACCTTATAGGTCGCCCTCTCCTCTTGCGCGTTTAAATTGCCTAAGATATAGTTTTCTATGCTTGGATGATCGCATAATATGTCCAAAAAAACTTAGGGCTCTTTTTTGACAGACAGTGGAGAGCCGCTCCGTGATCTTAAGTCGGCAAGAATAGATATATTCGTTCTTTTAGACGGTACGCGCAACAGCCTACGCAGCACCACATTCTCAATTTTCTTGATATCGGCTTCTTGATGCACCCAAGTTTCAGCACCATACAAAAATATGGAAAAGACTAGGCTCTTACCAGCCGCACTTATGCGTTTTATACCACGATTCTTCCATATTTTGTCGAGTGTTGCCATCGCCTTTTTGGCCAGATTTCACTGTCTGCCAGATATCAATGAGCCCTAGAGTAAAGAACTGTTGTGACTTTTCGTACTCAGTGCACAGGCTGAAGGAGTTGAGCGCGATCTATTACATAACTTTGGTCTTCGTTGTGTGACTTTAAGACCTAGCGTGGCACTACTTCAATTTCTTAAGTAGTGTTGCCATTTTCGATTCATTCGTTGCATATCATCTGCGTATCTCAAATTAGTGATTTTCTCGCCCCAATAATGCCACGTCCCAATTTTCCAGTACTATAATGTTCACCATTAGGTTGAAAAGTTTTGGCGATAAAATACACCCCTGGCGAACACCCCGTTCTGAGTGGAAAGGTTCCGATTTCTGATTCTCCAATTTTACGAAGCTGCTGAATATTTATCTATACACCTAATAAAATTCTAACTGATTAGAATCTGTAACTTAATTATTTTTTGGAAAAATCTTATTGAAATAGTCATTATTATCGATACAGAGGTTGAATCTATAGTTTTTAGAATTTTTGTCTCTGGGAACGCACCACGAGAAAACTACTGGACAGATTTTGATGAAATTTGGTATGATGATAGCTGGTTATCCGGGTTAACATATAGGGTACTTTTTACTGCAAGAAAATATTTCAATCTCTGAGCAATCTATAAGTACTAAACGTTAAAACTTAACTTGAGTCGCTAGTATAAATATATGTATATTTAAAACTTTTATAAAATTTTCTTTTATATTATCTATAAGAATTTTGTCTATTATATACTCCTTTGAAATTCCTTAACATGTTAGCGTCATTTCTGATTTACACTCGTTTACAAGTAATCGTAAATGCGTAACATTGGCCTTGTCCATAACTGGTGCTGGCGCCATGACATTGTAAACTACAAATTACGCACCCATGAGCCATGACGTAAGCAACTTTTCCTATAGTCTAGGGTTTGTGGTTAATTTTCTATAATCTATGGGCTAAATTGAATTTCATTGTGCTTATTAGGTAATCAGTATTGAGTGCCTTTAAATGTATATTCTCTTATTATTTTTTAATTTTATATATGTAATTTTCTTACTAAACGCAAGAAACTTCTAAGGATGAAGCTCTCATTTTTTTTATAGTCAAATGACATAGTTCTACTTGAAAGAAGTGATTTTGACATAAAATATAAGAACTTTTTTCGCAGACTACGCCTAATTGTCATTCATACTTTCCACCTTTCGGCAAACTCATGAAACTGAGTTGCGCTTAGGTATATCCATGGCGCTTAGAAATTGAAAACCTTATATAAGTCTTTATAATAGAGAAAGAAGTGTACTTAAATTATTATGAATATTTCCAGTGCTTTAATTTTAATGATAATATCTTATAACAAAGCTTAAATTAAATATCTGTGCCTAACCCTTTTGTAAGAGAAAAAAGATGTTGTAAATACCGAATTGTTATATTTTAAAGTATTTATGTCGCAGTGAAATTGTAAGATCCGTTAAATTATAATTTTACTAGTAAATAGAAATTACAGTATATCTAAAAATATCCCGTAATATTGTAAGAAAAGGAGACGATTGACTATACTCCGGGTAATTTCACTAGTGAATTTATAATTTCACGATTTTTACAATTTCACTGCGACATTTACATTATTTCAATATCCGAGTTACTCAGTCAATTTTACTTCATAATACCCAATGGTGGATTAATTATATATCGCAGAATTGGTATAATTACCAATCCCATCTTAGAATTAAGATTTTAAGTAAAGATTTTATCAGATTCTCAGAATATATGATAGTTATGTCAAAAATAGAAAACATTACATTTCTTTGACGACACGTTTGGCTCAGCTTGTAGTGATCCTACTTGCTGTGCCAGCGGTCGCGGGTTCGAGTCCCGCTGGAATTCATCTGTGTAGCACGAATGTTTGTACTCCAGTCATGGGCGTTTATATTTATAATATGTATGTGTTTAAAGTTATTTATGTGTAGTGTATGTCCATACCACAAGCCTCATAGCTTACCATGGAACTAGATAGTGCTGTGTGTTAATGTCCCAACATACAACATATATTAGATAGATTTTAACCCATTTCCTCGTGCCCGGTCCGGTCAGCCACATAACCTTTAAAATTAGTTTCGCGGAAGGTCGTCTGTGTCATTGCAAATGCGAGCGCTGAATTATATATTCCGTAATCAGACGTTGTTAGACTCTTTATACGAACTACGTCTTTAATCATTGAAGTCTTCGTAGATATAGAGAAGCCTTCGAGTTTCTATTAAGTTTTTTTTTATAGAAATGTAGTAGGCATTATGTGAGTAAGATCTTTCACGCGATTAATAAAATATTTTGCATTGAAAGCAGAAATATTTTTAATTAGCTTATTTGCTCATAAGTTATGAATTTTTTTAAGGTTAATATTTTGTTTAAAAAGATAATATTTAAACTGCCTTTTATTTTTCATATTCCAAGTTAAACAAAATCTTTAGTCATTGCAATTTTTGTAAATCAACATGTTTATTTTTAATATTTTTTACTCTTAAAAATTGAGCATTTTAATGTAAAATAAGAATTTATAAGAAAACTAGCATTGCCCGCGGCTCTTCAGATGACCAAAAAGCAAATTCTTAGGTTTACATATTACTATACTCTTACAATGCAGTTTTGTACTTGACCGGGATAACCAGCTATTACCATACCAAATTTCATCAAAACCCTCCAGTGGTTTTTCTGTGATGCGGTAACAGACAGACAGACAAAAACTCTAAAAACTGTAGATTCGGCCGCTGTGTCGATAAAATTCAATAAGATTTTCCAAAAAATATTTAATGAACAGATTCGGTTTGGTTGCAATTTTATTATATGTATAGATTTAATATCAAACAATCATGTTTGCTTTTTCCACCTAACTATACAAAGAGATTTGTTATTTTCTTCATTACTTATTCGTGAGCCAAATTATAGGTACGTTTCTACCTAACAAGCATGTTTCTTGATTATAACTGGAAGTTCGAAACTATTTTAACCAGTTCTTTTGAAGCGTATCTACGATTCGCATTTCGTTTAACGGTGTTAAATTTAAAATAATAAAATTAGTAAAAATAAAAATTCCCGTACTATTTGTTTTTATATTGTATAGTGACATTGATTGATCAGAATAGCGGGCATTTCAGGTAAATATAAGGAAGGCAAGATCATCAATTTCAATTGTCAGATGTCAGATTCGGCACGAAGGACCATATTCTATTGCATAATATTAATCATTTATAAAAAGAGTAGAACCTACTTGGTATTGCAAATAGCTGCCATTTTGTTTTTTTTTTAGTGACTGTCTCGAACCAAATAATATCTTCCTACTATTTTATCAACTGCAATATTGACTTAAACAAGTTGTATTGGAATTATTAAGTTCGCCTTATAAGATATAATTTTGATATAACCTGATATAACCTACGGAATATCTGATTCTTCGCCTGAAACCGAGGGGTTGAAATCAAGCTCCCAGCATATATTTATTTCATTTACTAAATATTAAACAAGTTCTACACATATTATACATAGTTAATAGTTACTATATTTTTGTCATATTTCGTTTAGGTTTTTATTACTCTAAATCATATGTTGTTGAAATTAATTTCGATAGGCGATAGCCTCTAAAGTAGGTTCTATATAATTATTGAAGGTTATGGTGTCATTGTTTATTCTGACAATGTAGTGTATACCTGTAATATTTGTACACGTGAAGATAGATATTTTATAATATAATAATATAATAACTATATAAATGTATACTGTTGGTGTTCCTATTTAATATATAAATAATTGTAGACAAGACAAGGGTCGACGATCACAATAGATCGGGCATGGTCGCAGTGATACTCTGTGTATGTACCTAATATGTAGCTATAGCCAATATTTCCAAAAAGGGAATAAAAAAAATAACTCGTGTTGTCCACCCCCCAGGGAGCACCGGACGAGTCCGGCGCAGGTGGCAGTGCCGGGTGGCACGCGCTCGCGACCCCCTTCGCGCCTCGACCGCGTCCCGCGCCGCGCTGCTGGCGCCGCGCCCTCAACGTCGACCCGCCCTGGCTGCGGCGTGCGCCCGCCCGCTGACACATTACTTTGCCGACCACGTGAGTATATATATGTACATATGTCACAGCGAAACTGTAAGGACCATTAAAAAGGCGTTTAAATCTGACCAATCAGTGACCGTTTTACGATTTAACGGCTTTTATCATTTAGAGAAATTGTCAAAATTTTATTTATTCACAATATCACTGAAATTCTGTCTAGTGAAATTATAATATACTTAAAATTGTCCCGTGATATTGTTAAAGGAGAAGATTGACAAAACTCAGGGAAATTTCACTAGTGAATTTATATGTTCACTGTTTTTATAATTTACTTGCGACATAAACGTATTATGTACCTTCATAATCATATAAGCACAAATATACTTATACATATACTTTAATTTTTTTTTAAAACAAGTATCCCACGGGAACCGTAGTCCGTACATTTTTCCGGGATAAAAAGTAGCCTATGTGTTATTCTGATGTATGAGCTATATTATTTTAAAGTTTCATTAAAATTAATTTACTACTTTTTGCGTGAAAGAGTAACAAACAAACATACCAGACATACTCACAAACTTTAAATTAATTAATAGGTATATAAATAAAAACTTGAATAAATACAAAAACAAAAGTAAAAACTTTGTATTCGACCGGAATTCGAACCTGGACGGACACTTTGTCAATCGTGCGCCTTGGCCGCTTGATCACGATGCTTATGCCCGAGCGTGCGAAATTAGCGACCATATATTTTTGCGTGGAATAATACGAAAGAAAACCGCATGAAAACTCGAAAACACGCGTTTTCTTATACATAAAGACTTAATCTAGATAGATTTTTCGCCTCCGAAAAACCCCACATACCAAATTTAAGCGAAATTGTTAAAGCCGTTTTCGAGATCGCCGGTATAAATAAATAATATATTAAAAGGTGCTAAATTTGTGATATAATTATTAAAAACGGACTAGATGATTCGAAATATCCATAATATATAGCGATTGAGACAAAAATATTCATATCTGATAAGATAAAAGCCATATTAAGATTAGAACTCCTCACTGAACACACTGACACTGAATTGTAGATATTATTCGAGAAAAAAATATATAACCTCGTTATTAACATATGATCACTTGGTTTAAAGTGTTTATTCAGTAGTTATTGATCGACTTCTAAAGAAGGGGTATTCGTTTACGGTGTGTCTGCGTGTGTGTGTGTTTATTGTGTCTATCTTACACGATATATGTGACAATTATTGTAAACCGTTTTTTATTCTGTTTTAAAAATTAAATTATATCTATATTAGGGTCGTCTATACTAATATGAGGTTTAGTTTGTGAGATTGTAAGTTTGTGACGTTGTAGGGGGTAATCTTTGGATCTACTAAACAGATTTAGATGAAATTTGGTAAGAATATAGTTTGAGACCCTGGGAAGGGAATAGGATTTTTTCCCCCGGAAATCATCCCTTAAGGGGGTGAAAATGGGGATGAAAGTTTGTACTGAAAAGTAAGCTAGAGACAAACCCGAGCGAAGCGAGGGTTAGTCGCTAGTCTTACATAAATTTAAGAAAAAAAATCATCTGTAAGGGAGCAATAATTACGGTTATGATGATTTTGAAGTCATTGTAATTTTTTTGTTAGAAAGTAGTTCTTTATCTGATAAGAAAATCTTATCAGATTTAATTATCAATTATCTATTACGTTTTAGTACTTATTGCTAAATCATGATGTCATAAATAATCGTAATAACAGAAATGTAACGAGATTAAATAACTATATGACGTACATCTGTTATCGTTCTGACGTATCTGTTACAAGAAATAGAGTTTTTTAGTTATCGATTTTATTAATTAATTATTAAAGTCGGAGTAAAAATAGTAGGTAAATACTCTCTATAAAACAACACGAGCGTAAAAGAAATTAGTCCTACTAATATTATAATGCGAATGTTTGGGTGAACGTTTATTGTTTTTTTATTACCATTATTTTTTATCAAGTAACGGCTATATTATTTTGTGTGAAATTCGTGATGTGGAGAAGAATTATTTCCTGTTTTTGTTTATAGTTTTAAGCTTTTTTTATTGAAGTCTCATACGAATAGGGCCGCACGCAAAATCTAGTCGGACTAAATACTAATAATTAACTGACTAATTATTAATAATAATTGCGAAAACAAAATATTAATAACAATTGCGAAAGTTTGGTTGTTAGCGTACTATGCAATTATGTATGTATGTTTGTTTCTACTTCACGTGCTGGATCAGTTTTAATGAAAGCTATTAAACATATAGATTATGACACGGAGCAACACATAGGATGATGAGGAGCACGTGTCTAATAACCGTCGCTAGTATCTTATCAATTTCGTTATTCCTAACATTGTTATTATTATTTTTACCAGCTGACACTTGTGGACTAGCGCTAACGGACCCCTACCACCGGGCTCGGACACCTGACCCCCCCTGTATCGCACCCCCCATCCCTCGCATAGCCGACTGACTCAGCCTCGGCGTCTGCCGAGGCGGGCTCGTCGGAAGACATTGCCTACCTGATACGCGGTCAAGTGAACTCGGTCAAAATACCTGCCACGATGAAGGTCATCGAGGATGAGCAGCGCGTGTGCGTGATAGATGGACCCTGGACCCCTCAAGGGCTGATCAAGGAAATAGTGGATGAGGGAACCCAGGAGGATCCGTTCTATGTGATGGACATGGGGGAGGTAGTAGCGCGATACCACCAGTGGAAGGAGCTTATGCCACGCGTTGAACCGTTTTATGGTGAGTTCTTTATAACTAATAAGTAGTAGAAAAGCAAAAACAAATCTATCCCACAGGAACCGTACATTTTTCCGGGATAAAAAGTAGCCTATGTGATATTCCAGATTATAATCTATCTCTTTATTATAATATAATTGGCTTATATAAGGACTATTCTTTTTATGGTCTTTCTATTAGGTATACAACTTAGCTTCCGCCGTTTTTTTTCAAAATTCAAAACTTTATTGTAAAAAAACTGATTATACATTTATGTTTCAAAGTATCGTCCATTGTTTTCCACTACTTTTGCCCACTATTCTGGCGACAATCGGATCCTGTGTTGAAAAAAACTGGTCATCTTTTGAAGCGATCCATGAATCGATCCAATTTTGGACTTCTTCATAAGACTGAAAGTACTAGTCTGTCAGGCCGCGTGCCATGGACCGGAATAGGTGATTGTCAGAGGGAGCAACGTCTGGAGAATATGGCGGGTGGGGTAAGACTTCCTATTTCAACTTTTCTAAGTATGTTTTGACAACTTTTACAACACGAGGCCGAGCACTGTCATGTTGCAAAATTACTTTATCATGTCTTTCAAAGGATTGCGGCCATTTTTCTTTCAATGCTCGGCTGAAACGCATTAATTGCGTTCAGTAAAGATCTCCTGTGCTTGTTTGAGACGGTTTTAACAGCTTATAATATATTATACCGAGCTGGTCTTACCAAACACAGAGCATGACCTTGAAGCCGTGAACATTCGGTTTAGCCGTAATCGCAGAAGCTTGGCTGGGATATCCCCATGATTTTCGGCGCTTAGGGTTATCGTAAAAACCTCATTTTTCATTTTTCGTCACCAGTCACAATGCGATGCAAAAATTGTTTCCGTTTTTGACTTTCAAGCAGAAGTTCACAAATACAGTAACGTCGTTCAACATCTCTAGGCTTCAACTCGTATGGCACCCAATATCCTTGCTTCTGGATCATTTCCAGATTGTTTAGGCGTTTTGAAACTGTTTTTTGGCTCACTTGCAATGATGTTGCCAGCTCCTCTTGACTTTGACATGAGTCTTCATTGAGCAAATGCTTTAATTCCTCATCTTCAAAAACTTTTGATCTTCCACCACTATGCCGGTTTTCTACGCAAAAATCACCGCTCTTGAAGCATTAAAACCACTCACAACATGTTTTTTTTACTTATAGGAACTTCACCATAAGCGTCTGAGAGCATTCGGTGAGCCTCAGCCGCAGATTTTTTAATATTAAAAAAATAAATTATCACTTCCCGCAAATGACGACAATAAGGCTCATAAGTTAACATTTTTATTCGAAAATAACTATATGATGTAAACACAACTCAACTACTGTTGCTATCAGGTCATGTTCACAAGATACTAAAGAGTATTTTAACTCGTCCATAATGTATGTACTCAACGTCTAATTGTCGCTAGCGCCATATTCAAAAAAACGGCGGGAGCAAAGTTGTATACCTTAATATATCTGTACGTAGCTGTAGATTTTAGTTTAAATAAATAAAATAAATAAATCTGTGTGCCAAATTTCATCCAGATCCGTTCTGACATTCTGGCATGAAAGAGTAACAAACATTCATACAGATAAACTTTCACTTTTATAAATTTTAAGATTATTTGATTCAAGTGGCGTTTTCCAACTGCTTTTAGACATTTATATGTACATAAACAAACTATAATTAATCCCATACTGAAATCCTCTAATCCCGGGAAAGCATTGCCAAATAGCACATCCCACGGGATTGTTGTATGAACACGACCGTTTGTTGCACCAACAGCGGTGAAATGCAACGACGACAAGTTGATGGTGAGCACGCTGGCGGCGCTCGGCGCGGGCTTCGACTGCGCGTCCAAGGCGGAGATACAGCTCGTCACGTCGCTCGGCGTGCGACCTGAGTGAGTTACATGTTATTTTGTTGTATTATGTAAAATGATATATTTACCAAGGGATACTTTAAAGAGAAGTCTACCCGTGAGAAAACTACCACCCGAGGAAGAAACGAACTCGCTAAACCCAAAGCAATAATGATAAACACGATAGCAAACACAATATATTTGGTTCGTTATGGTTTAGCGAGTTGGACTTGGTTCCTTCTTTAAGACTTCTCATTTAGTGTTTTAGTTATGTTATACGTTTAATTACTGGCGAAAGTAAAAAGAAAAATGGTGCCAAAATGTACATTGTGCTTTCTTATAAAATTAAAATATTATAATATTCACATTGATGTTGATTGTATCTATATAAACTTTTTTTTAACTCTCTATTTAGCCTTTTACATTTAAAGGTAGAAATTAACTGCCTCAGATCTTTATGTCAAAACAACTTTTTTTTTCCATAAGCTCAAAGTGTTTCGATTTCTTTGCTACTAATGAGTTCTGAGCTTTAAGTGTGCGCACACCGACTTCGACTTTATTCACACTTTATCCTTTTTAGATTCTAACTTGTTTGTTCGTAATTTCTCAAAGCTTTGAATTTGAAAGCTTTTCATATCTAAATATGCAATTTCAAAGAGAATGGTTGGTGTGAGAGTTTTTTTTTCTTGATTTTAATTATGTATAGTACAGTGTTGTTTTCTCGTTTTATTTTCAAATTTAACTGGAACTCTTCAATGGCTTGGGTTAAAAGTCGAGTTTGAGCACATTTAAAGCGTTTTATAAGTCACATACATCAGTAAAACCTTGTTTTTAGTTTTTGACCGAGATCAAAAAAGGATGTGTGTTATTTCGTAAATGACAATTCTGTTGGTATAAAATACACATTTTTTATTAAAAAAAAGTATGTATATAAATCTTTGAATTAAAGGAAAAAGAAGGTACCTACAACAAGTATTGATTGTCTCAACAAATAAGCTCTAAAGTGACAAATTGGCTAATCTCAGTGGGATTGGCGGTAATCGAAATCGGTCAGGAGGACATTATTCAAAATCTATACATCTATATAGATAAATAAAATTGAAGTGTCTGTAATTACAAAATAACAGCTTTTTACTAAATGCATGTAAAATTATATACGGTAGGTACTTATAAGAAAAACACATTTTTTTAATTTTTTGTCTATCTATCTGTTTGTTCTGGCTAATCTCCGAAACGGAAGAACTGATTTTGACGGGACTTTCACTGGCAGATAGCTGATGTTATAAGGAGTAACTTGGGTTACTTTTATTTTAGAATAACAATTAGGGTTCCGTACAAAAAAATGAAAACGTACCGCTAGTAACCAATAACGTGGTCCCGCAGACGCATAATCTTCGCGAACCCCGCGAAGCCGGCGTCGCACGTGCGCTGGGCGCACGCGGCCGGCGTCACCACGCTCACCTTCGACTCGGAGACCGAGCTGATCAAGACAAAGCGATTCATGCCCGAGGCGCAGTGAGTACAATCTAGGTTTTATAATATATGTATTTAACCATTTTTAACCTTCCACTGCTGGGAACAGGCTTCCCTTCAATATGAGGGAGATCATCCAAGAATTGAACCCGCTTCACTCGATTTTCCAAGTTAACACTTGGAAAATCGATTACCAGGCAGTGGTAGCCTAGTGGTAACCCACTAGGCTACCACTGCCTGGTTGGTTTTATAATATGTACTAATAATTTAGCTTGGGTTTGTTTGAGTACATCCCTAGATGTATTTTTGTTCCTAGATGTTTTTGTGTTGTTGATGAGGCAATTTAATCAAATTTTTTTCTAACATACATAAAAAAAATATTAACATCCGTTATTTCTATTGTAAAATATGATACATTTTTTTTAATGTCTAAGCCCATAACGATGGTGTTCGTGCACAGACTGGTGATCCGCATCCGCTGCGACGCGTCGTCGGCTCAGTGCCCGCTCGGCATCAAGTTCGGCTGCGAGCCCGTCGTGGAGGCGCCGCGCCTGCTCAAGCTCGCCGCCGTGCTCGGCCTCAGCGTTAGTATACACATAAATAAATATAAATATATTAAGACATTAACACACAGCACCATCTAGTTCCATGGTAAGATCCGAGGCTTGTGTTTTGGATACCAGATAGCTTTAAATACACACATATTATAAATATAAACACACGTGAATGGAGTTCAAACATTCGCGCTCATCACACAAATGAATGCCCCCAGCGGAACTCGAACCCGCGACCGTTGGTGCAGCAAGTAGGGTTACTACAAACTGAGCCAAAGCTGTCGTCAAGTATACATACATACTTATACACACACACACACATATGTTACGCATCATGTATAGTATATACGCACTTACATATACACACGCACACTTACTCAATGTAGCGATGGGATTAACAAAGTTATTAATAAATCACTTTATATACTGTGTGAAAAAGTATCCTATGTCTTTCTCAGGGTCTCAAACTATCTTTTTACCAAATTCCATCTAAATCGGTTCAGTAGATCCAGAGATTACCCCCTACAACGTCACAAACTCACAAACTTTACCTCGTTATAATATTAGTATAAGTAACAAAAAAACAACCCATTTGTTAACATACACATGTATAAAAGCACAATAATATGAGAAACACACTTGTATACTTTCTTTACCAAGTAACTCAAAATATAAATATCCCCATTGTACAGGTTATAGGCGTGTCGTTCCACGTGGGCTCCGGCGCGCAGGAGACGGCGGTGTACGCGCGGGCGCTGCAGCACGCGCGCGCGCTGTTCGCGGCCGGTACCGCCGCCGGCCACCGCATGCGCCTCGTCGACGTCGGCGGGGGCTTCCCCGGCAACGCAGGCACCAGCATACGCGAGGTATATATACGATATACATGCCACGCAGATAGATATAGCCGTCTCGCTCGTACTTGTCACGCGTCATACGCGAGAGCGAGATAGATATAGAGATTACGGAGTTTTATAAACTATACCTATCTCGCTCTCGGCAACGCCGGCACCTGCATACGCGAGATATGCAATATACATGCCACCAATTGTGACACGTCATAAGCGAGAGCGAGATATATATAGGGATTACGGAGTCGTATAAACTATATCTCTCTCACTCTCGACAACACCGGCACCGGCATACGCGAGGTCTACGCGCTATCAGATATGAGTATATTCTTCTCGTTCTGACTTTTGTCATTTACCTATGTCTATCTCACTCTCGGTAATATATACTGTTCGTATGTTCAGGTGGCAGCAGTTATCAACGAGGCGCTAGAGACGCACTTCCCGTCCCGCTCGGTGCGCGTCATCGCCGAGCCCGGCCGGTACTTCGCAGCCGCCGCCTACACGCTGGCCGCCATGGTGCATGCCACCAGGGAGGTTAGTTACCATAGTGTATAGGTTATAGGATGCTCCTTTTCATCCTCTATACAATGGTAAAAGTACCATGGAAATCGGCTTATCGGTTCGAGAGATAATTCTTGTCATGTACAGCTAGTTGAGCTGCGATATGTCACTTGTATCTGTGAAAGTTCGGGTTACATTGGCTAGCTGTTCCGAATAGATTTTTATAAACAACATAATATGTATAATACAAAATATAATGCATTTAAAAACTAAAATTACTTTTTAGTTTTACATATTTTTATTAGTTTTTTTTTTTAATTAGAACCAGCTATTTTAGAAGCTATTTTTTGGTTTTATAATGTTGCATAAACTTCAATAATGAATCAATATATAATTACTCTTATCTGTTGACATTTACTTGAACTGTTTATTATCTTTCTTCCTGATGGTCAAATATTGTAGATAAAAATTGACATATACAGAGTGTATCATTGTATCTTACAATTGTCCTAAACCAAGATATTTTACAACTCCACCAGCTTGCTTCCCAATACAAAATTTCATCCCTATTCTCACCTCCATAAGGGATGATTTCCAGGATAAAAACTATCCTATGTCCTTCCTAGGGTCTCAAATTATCTTTTTGTCAAATTTCATCTGAATCGGTTCAGTAATTTCGGTTCCTATTTGATACAAACAATCAAACAAATTTTTCCTTTTTATAGTATTAGAATAGATAAATATGTATAACACTATTTGTCTTTGCCAGTTGCCAGCCAAGGATGGTTCGGGGCCGCACACGATGTACTTCATCAACGACGGCGTGTACGGCTCCTTCAACTGCGTTCTGTACGACCACCAGCAGGTGCACGCCGAGCCGCTAGAGGTCAGCACTAGACATTGTATTATACTCATATAATAGTTATATGTTTTTAACCGACTTCCCATAAAAAGGAGGAGGTTCTCAATTCGTCGGAATCTTTTTTTTATGTATGTTCACCGATTAGTCGAAGACGCTTGAACCGATTTGGATTTTTTTTTTTGGTCAAAGGGTATACTTCCCAGGTGGTCCCATATAAATTTTATCGAAATCGGTCTAACGGTTTAAAAAAAAATCAACAATAAATATTTTTTTTAAATAAATTGTTTAATCGAATATGTTATATTTGATTGCCTCTTTGGTATAGTGGCTAGCATGTATGACCTTAGATTGGAAGGTTCTGATTTCGAGTTTTGGGTCGGGCCAAATTTAGTTGTTAAGTCTTTTTGTTAAGCTTAACCTTCATTATAAGTATCGTCTGCATACATACGCATTGCACTATGATATCTCCTTCACAGTTGGCTAGTCTCAAGTATATTGGCGATACCGACAGTCGTTTACACATACATGTATTTGACAGTCAGGGAACAATTGGGTTTTAGAGTTTCCAGATGTAACTTGCCATGAAATGACTAGTGTATGGCCATGAAATTTTTTTATTTTTGACAACCCTTGTATTAGGAATTATTTCTTTTCTGTATACTATATATATATATATATACTTACTGGCAGTGGTAACCCAGTGGTAATGCGCTCGCTTGAGTAACCGAATGAAGCGGGTTCAAATCCCGGATCTCACGCCTCTGATATTTTCACGTGTGAATCATTACAAGTAATCTTACGGTCAAAGAAAACATCGTGAGGAAATTTGCATGTCTAAAAAAACATAGTAAATTTTCGAAACACATGTACAGTCCGCCCCGCACTTGTCCAGCGTGGTGGACTATGGCCTGATCGTCGTATTGAAGGTCTCCTTCCTGTGTTGCCCCCCAGGAGTCCGCGGAGCCCCCGTCGCCGTGCTCGGTGTGGGGCCCCACCTGCGACGCGCTGGACTGCGTGCTGCCGCTTGCGGCGCTGCCCCCGCTGCGCGCCGGCGCCTGGCTCGTGTTCCGCGACATGGGCGCCTACACGCTGCCCGTCGCCTCCGCCTTCAACGGCTTCCCGGTGCCGAAGGTCCGCGCCGTCTGCGATAAACGCCTCTGGTGAGATTGTATGACGTTATATAGATAAACGCCTCTGGTGAGATTATATAGATAAATGACTGGTGAGATTATATAGATAAATGCCTCTGGTGAGATTATATGAGATTACATATGTATTAACTAGTTAAGTTTGTTTGCTTATAAATATCAGTTTTTAAAATGATGAATGGAAGTCTGATTTGTTGATGTTTATGATTACTGCTCCAAGTGGAGCAGAAGCAGTGGAGTGAAGAATTTTTTTAACATTCTTGTTTTGTTGCCTGTATCGATAATGAAACTTATTTAAAAAATATATATTCAAACAATATTTATATACAGACACGACCTCTTATTTAACTACTAATATAAAATTTCTCTTTAATATATAGTTATTTAAACCCATTTCCTTATTCCAGGTCGGTTCTGAAAGACATGTGGCCGCTGTCCGAGGTGCACTTTGACTTCGGGCGTATCACCGGCCCTCAGACGCCCCCACCCTCCCCTACACCCTCCCTCTCCTCCCCCTCTCCTCCTCCCGGGGACATAGAGCACACCATGTTTGTGGAGTGCGCCCTCAAGTGATCTGCGGTATGGGAATGTGCACAACGGCGGGATATGTTGCTAACTTCATTACATTGTTATATGTATTCGTTTAATAATTAATATACAGCGTCGCCTAAGTGTTTGTTTGTTTGAACCATCAATACTTGTTTTGCTTTACTGTACTTCTAAAAAAAAGACTAAATTCTAAAATTTATATGTATATGTAGATAAAATACTTTTTTTTTGGCTTTTTTAAAGTAGAATGTGTCTTTTATAGCATTAGAATTGACATTTAAAAGCTAATAATTCTGTACTAAACACTCTTTCGGTAAATTGGTCGCTTGTACAAATAAGCACCGTGACGACGATAGAGCTCGTATTGTATCTATGTCGCTCTGAAGTTAGCTGTTAATGGCTGCGCAGTTGTCAGTGTTACTACCGAGTTGTGTTTGTGACTGTTCTAGAAGAACAATTTTAGAGTGACGCAGTTACGATATAACCACTATATATTATTATTGTGTTTAGATTTCTTTAAATTTAGAATACAGGGTATTATTAAGTTATACTAATTTGTAGTACTTTTAATTGGACATGTGCAAATCGTGTACTTATGAATTCTTTCGGATTGGTTGTAGAATTAAATTTTTAATATTATTATATAAGTATGTATGTATGTATGTGAGTTAGCAACTTATTAGAAAACATGCCTATTATCAACCAGCGGCTTAAAGCAAGAGGTCAAGTGGCTATTACGGGGCTCAGTTATTAGACATGTAATATGTAGGGTTGCCATGTCACATTAGATATAACGTTTTGTCATTTAAAATGGCAATTCCTTATATTTTAATCAATGGCATTATATTGTATGGTATTTTTTAATATAGTATAAATTTCATCGATATATCACTTTAGAAGCTTTTATTGCAAATTAAATATTAATTTATTGTAGTTTTTTATATATTTACTATTTATATCTTATGCTTAAAATCTTTTGTGTTCGTGATATTGTAAATTTTAAAACATTGAATAATTTTCTGTTTCTCTTTGTTTAATTATTCCACATAAACGTGTACGATACGAATGCTTTGCAATTTTACTTGCTAAATTTCACGACTATAGAAGCGGACTAGATATGATCAACATGGCTTTCGCGTTTATAATATTACTCAATACTTATTATTATAATATGGTTGTATTAAATTTGATAACATGTCGCCACTCTCTGTAGTAAAAGTAGTGGAGTTTATTATTATATAATGTATGTTAGTTATGTCTAATGACCACCATCTAGCCCTAACCAAAAAAAATTAAAAAAAAAAACATTTTACGCAATAATTATTATTAATAATGAAAATGTCCTAGATGTGTCAATGATTTTGCCTTTTGTGATTTTTTTGAATATTTCCATTGGAATTTAATGTTTTGTGTGCTTCAGAGTAACTTTGGTCGAACAAGTGTGTACTAGAATGTTGTTTGTAATAATTGAAATAAAATCATTCCTAATTTGAGATGGATATAACATTTTTAAATAAAACTATCTTTTCGGATTTTTTCGCGGATTTATTTTGATTTTTGGTTCGCGACGTTTCGAATGCTTTACAGCAATCGGTCACGGGAGTCTCCCGTCAAAGATCTAAAAAATGCGGGAAAAATTCAGACATAGTTTTACTTAAAATGTCAAATATTTGCGTAAATCTAAGAAAGTATTATAAATTACATTTTCAAACCAAAGTTACTCTGTTTAATGCTTTTATTTCTAATACTAACAATTCGATATAAGATATAATTTAACCATGGAATTATAATTATTAAAAGTTCGCATAAAACATGTTGTTGCAACTGTAGTGCAAATAGATTTTTGTCTGTAGCTGATTTGGAATGTAGAAATGCTTATTGAATATACGTTGCTGAAATGTCAATTGTGTTTTTATTTTTGAGACCTTTATCGATGTCCCGACTGATTTCGGTCACAGTGGCCACTCTCACTGATCTCACTCATTAGAATGAGACTGGAAGATGTTATATTGCACAAGTATGCATATGAAAACTTAGTTGAAATTATTTTATACTTTAGCCTTTTCTTTATTTCTGAACACAAAAAAACTAATTTTATATTAAAATTTTCCATAATTTCTATTAAAAAAATAAAAACTTATTTAAAAAAAAAACTAAAAAATAACTGATTGGTAGTTTTCATCTATACATATAATAAAATTGTAACTAAGCGGAATCTGTACATCTGAACGATCTAATTGAAAGTCATTATTATCGATACAGAGTCCGAATCTATAGTTTTTATTAGATTTTTTGTCTGTTACCGCATCACGGAAAAACTACTGGAAGGATTTTGATGAAATTTGGTATGGTGATAGCGTCAACATATAGGATACTTTTTACTGCGGAAAAATATCTCTGAGAAATCTATACTAAACGTTAAAACGTAAGTACGAACCCGAGCGGAGCGAGGGTGAGTTGCTAGTTTACTATAGATACCTAATAAGATATTTTCGAAGGCGGTGTGCTTTGATTTGCATCAGCTATTTTGTTTTATATTATTGATAGTAAATAAAAACAAACAATCAGTTATTTTTTACTTTTTCGTTTTATTTTTTTGAAGTCTTGTTTTTATTTTTTCTTCTTTTGGGATATTTGAAAAAAAATATGAGAGTAAAATTTTTACATCCTTTTTTTACAAACAGAGAATTGTGACATACGGGATCAAATATTTAGCTATTTCTGTTCTGTTACGCCAAACAAGTATAACTTCTCACGTGTGTACATAAGTAGGCACACACGTTATTTTATATACATTTTTTAAGGTTTTTATTTTTCCATTTTTAGTGCAGATATAAGAATAGCAAAATACGAAAAAAGTATTTTAAAAATTCAGTAGGTGAAAAATCAATCACCTCAATTTTTTACACTAAGGGATGGATTATAAATTTAAATGGGATTATATACCTGTCGAACAAAAAAAAATTTGCAATGCAAATCCGTCTATATATAAATATCCGAATCGAGAACCTCCGTTTTTGAAGTCGATTAAAAATAAAACATAAAGTAATACTACACATTTATTCAACACATACAATCAAAAGCTTAACTGAATAAAATTGAAATCTCCAAACAAAAAATCATGAATCTGACAAATTATTGCAAAGAGAATCTTATACATACCTAAAACGTATTACAAAATTAAATGTACTGAAAACTAATGAAAATTCACGTTTTTAAATTACATATAAACTTCAATATTTAAAAAAATAAAAATTAAATCTGTCTGTATGTATCGCTTACATTAACGTGAAGAACGCTCAGCGTCTAAAAACGACCTAATTATGTTATCACAATTATCAAAAATGTTACATTATTATTACTTATTAAATATAATTATTATTCAGTCCTTTTAACATTAACATGCAATTATTTACAAAACGATTTTCGACCAAAACTCATTTAGCACTATAATAATACAAACCACTTTTTTTTTATAATTATTGAATTAAATCGAAAATATCAATATTCTAATTATTACTATACAATATAATATATTATATATATATATATATATATATATATATATATATATATATATAGTGCATTATTAATTAAAATATACAAATGAAATGAAAAATATTTACTATTACTCAAAGATACGTGGATACGAGTTAGGAACTTAAAAAAAATGGCCTTCACGTGACGCCCAGCAGATGTGAAACATCTATATTAATATTGGAATTCAACTACACTACTATTATAAAGAGGAAAGGTTTCAATTTTTGTATGTTTGTAACGGATACACTCAAAAACTACTGGACCGATTTAGATGAAATTTGGTAAGAAGATAAGTTTAAGACCCTGGGAGGGACATAGGATAGATTTTTTATTCCAGAAATCATCCTTCACGGGGGTGAAAGTTCGTACGGGAAATTAACCTAGTGTCGAACCCGAGCGAAGCGAGCTCGTAATTCATAAAAACCTATAACGAAATTTGGAATAAAATAAAGAAAACAATAGAGTTTCGTTCATAAATCAATCAATTTATTTTTCTTATTTACTTAATTACAATAAAAATTACAAAATATATATTCATAAATAGAATAGAAAATGTGTAAGTATATTTAATAAAGACTGTTATATAATGGAGCGCGAATTGTATTCGCGCAAGTTGAGAGCGGTGACATAGAACAGCGTCACGCCACCGTTTGCCGTAATACCACGAGTCGGTTTTACTGCCAAAGCGCGCCAATAGATGTTTCACATCAAAAAATCTTATTTAACTAAATGAATATACCTTATACAACAATTGATTAAATTTTAATAATTTAGCATTAGATTTTTTATAAATTTTAACAGATTAAGAATAATTTTCTTATTTAAATTCAGGCCAATATTTAAAATACATTATCCGAAACACAAAACAATGCCAGAGCTCTTCTTAAATAAAATGACCACTTCATTCGGCGTTCGATTATTCGCTTCAAAAAAAAATACTTATTTCATATATACTTCAAGTTTTACTTATTATGAAGGTATAAAATATGTTCAAATGAGCGAATGAATGAACGATTAAGTTAACAATACAGCGAATGGTCGCATGATGAATGAAGTAACAACGACACTTGTAAGAGACAACGTTGTAATTCAGTGTTGAAGCCATTTTAATTTATTGCCATAATATAAAAAAAATGTATGGGATTTGCCCCGAAGTATCGAGAAGCATATGTACATATGTTACACAGACGTTTAAACTAGAGAAATGATGGATTCTCCATACAAATTTTAATTCCATTTTTTACAACCTTCAAGTTTTATTCAAAACCTTATATTTTTGTCAATGTCCAATGTACAACGTCTTTACAAAAAAATCATCAAATTCAGTTTAGCGGTTTAGACGTGAAAACGTAACAAATAAACAAACTGACAGAGCCACTTTGGCATTAACATATATTTTTAATTCCTAATAAAAAAAATTCTTAATAAGGAATTACAACATAGTCTCTTACAGGTGTTTGTAATGAAAGAACAAACATATCTGACCTCGAAGTTCGCTCAGCGGAGCTGCACTGTGTACTTGGCTCTACAGTGAATGATGAGTGAATGATAAGTGAATGAATGAGCACACCGTCGGTCCCGCAGCACTCAGCAGAGCTGCACGCTGTAGGCGGCGAGGTACTGCGCGAGCGCGGCGCGGTGCGGCGCGTCGAGCGCGGCGAGGCGCGGCGGCAGCAGGCCCGGCGCGGCACGGGACATCGACCCGAGGCTCTCCGCCAGGTAGCGCTTCGGGTCTTCTATACCTGAGGCGAGAAGTGTTCAATTCAATTTTCTTATTAATAGCTTCATAGCATGTCAGTTGAGACAGTCTGTCCGTACTCATTGACAGAAAAGCTCTCTGTTAGTTTACTTGTTATGCGACTGCTATGGCTATTCAGGCAATCCATGTTATTTACGTAGTAACAGAGAAAAATAAATTAGGTTTTTAGGGGATTTTTTGGATATTTAATAAAAATATTCTCGATAAATTATTATTTACCAGTTTTAACACCTCACCTCACCTTACAATGTGATATAGGAGAACAATATTTAACTCACTGTCAAATAGCATATTTCATAGATTATTAATAATATTATAATCTAATATATAAATATCTAGTGTCACGATGTTTGTGGTCGCACTCCTCCGAAACGGCTTAACCGATTTTAAAGATTTTTTTTTGTATAATTGGTAGGTATGAACATAGATCGTAAAGTATTTCTCACCCTTTTACCCCCACCCTCCATTTTTTATCGCTATTTTAGTATTTTTCTATGAACGTTAATATAATAATACCTGACGACGAACCCTCGCCTCATTCAGGTTCGTCGTCGTACAATATAAAGTCAAAGAATTTTATTTTGCGGATTGAACGCGGGCGAATCCGCGGGTTATGCTAGTATTAGCTGTATTATTAATTTTTAATTGTTTCAGTTTCATTTTTTTTTATAATTTTAATTATAGTTTTAATATTTTAATGAATTATGTTTTAACTCAATTCTATTAATTTTTGATTGTTTTGTCTGGTGTAATTTTTATTGCATGTACCTATTGTCCTCCATTATTTGTATACGTGTTTTTTATTTTATTTAGACTTTAATTTCATTTAGACTACTTGTGGGCATGGTATAATTTTGTGTTTTCGTTAATATATATCTTGTTGGTGTTGGTAATAAATAAATAATACGACAAGCACGTTGTATATAAGTAGATAAGCAACTGACTGGCGAGTGGGTCCCCGGCGGCGGCGCGCGCGCACGCCAGCTGCGCGTACTGCGGCTGGTAGCCGGGCGCGTCGTCTACCTCCACGAAGTGGTCCTCCGGCAGCGTGCTCTCGTCCGGCGGCAGCTCGAACAGACCTATCAACGCCTGGGGAACAAACAAACAAATAATATAAATATCTAAAACGTCCCGCTGCTGGGCATGGGTCTAAATTTATTAAGAAGTTCAGGCCATAGTCCACTATGCTGGCCGAGTGCGAGAGGACTGAGCATGTCTTTCGAAAACTTGCTAGATTCTCCCAGATAGGCCTCAACGATGTCTGTCTTCACAGTACGACAAGTGGTAATCATGTTGGAAATACTTCGCACATATAATATCGAGGTGGATACTAATGTCGAGGAAAAAATTTAAAGTAGGGAAGTCCGTCAGTTAAACCCTAATGAAAATTATCTAGGGGGTGACCTTTTCAAAACTTGCATCATAACTGAACTGAAGTCTCCCGAACTCAATCCTCCCTGCTCACACATGGTTGCTCACCTGCAGCACGGCGGGCCAGAGCGCCGCGAGCGGGCCGTCGCGGAAGCGCTCGCTGTGGCACAGCAGGCGCACGCAGCCCACGGCCGCCGCCTTGCGCTCCAGCGCGCCGCTCACGCGCTGCACGTCCGGCACCAGCACGCGCGACACGTACATACTGAACATGCTGCGGACGGACGGACGGTCTCATTATTTATAACACCGACTAATACCACACTTAGTATAATACTTTCTTAGATCTACGTGAATATTTGACATTTTAAATTATTTAAAACTCGTGACAATGATTACTATAAAACATTCGGAAAGTGGAGAACTAAAAATCTAAATATATCTAATCTAATATAATATCCGCAAAAAAATCCTTTGCCGCTGAAACAATTTTGATGAATTTTGATTTATATTAATCTGTTTATAAATAGATTGGATTTAGAAAGGGGAGGAGGAAAGAGTACCTTTTGTCACAATAATTAAACTTACCGAGATGAATGTTTGTATATTTGGGAAACCTCAATTTAAAATCCGTACAATAGACTTTCCTCGGAAATAGGCAAGCCTCACAACCTCAAAACCTCACAAATATTTAACATTATAAGAGATTCCCGCGTTCAAACAAACAAAAAACCCAAATTTTCGATATTCACATATTTTGATTTTTTTTATATTTTAATCACTGAGTTTTTCTGGTAAGACATTCACAGTAGTAGCCTGGAGTTGGAAAGTTGGCAACATGTCATCCCCGAGGCAGAACACGTAAAGCCATCGATCCTGCGCCTTCACTTCCGCTGCTAGTGTCGAAGTATCGTCCCATCGGACTTTGAAAGGAGAAGGAATAAGAGAGTGCACGTTGTGTCTGCGCGTACACTTGTGTCCTATAATATCTCCTGTTGGCTAGTCTCACTGAGATGTAACACCGTGGTCGAAATCCGTCGGTCGGACATTATTAAATATATGTACATGTATATCGATTACATTTATAACCTCTAAAGCACTCACTTAGCCTGAACAGAGTCGACGAGATCTATGAGGGGGTCTGCGCCGAAGTGCGCCGTGTAGAAACCTAGGAAGGCGATCAGACCGCGCACGTACTTGGTCGTCTTGGACGAGGACAACCGCTGGAACAGCAGTGTTATGATTTGCTTCGTGTACTGCTGCATTACTGATCTGGAAAATTATTGGGAATGTACATAAGTATATATACACTATACATTGTCCGCGGCTCCGCCTGCGTTCAGATGACCAAAAACCTAATTCTTATGTTTTACATATTATTAGTATACTCTCACAATGCAGTTTTTGTATTTTTTCTCAGAAATGAGATATTTTCCCGCGGTAAAAAGTATCCTATATGTTGACCCGGATAACTATCTCCCCGGATCTATCACCATATCAAATTTCATCAAAATCCCGCCAGTGGTTTTTCTGTGATGCGGTAACAGACAGACAAAAATTCTAAAAATTATAGATTCGGCCTCTGTATTGATATATAAAATTATAAATTAGGCTTAATTACAATTTTATTATATGTACAGATAAAGGCAGTGCTAACTCAGTGGTAACGCCCTCACTTGGGAAACCGAGTGAAATTTTAGTGGAAACATCAGTTGAATTTTAAGAAAGGGCTTGAATACGTATCGCTTAATTTATTATTTTTATTTAAATTGTTTTCATACTACATATCGATCGGACCTAGTATCGTTCTTTTGCTTTACCATTGCTGTGTATAGATAAAAAATAATGTCGTTTAACTATCATGCTTGTTCTATACTTAACACAAAAATTTCGAATCCCGAATTTACGAATATTTAGATAAATATACTGCCAGAGCATTATATTTTTACATAATAAAATAAATAATTATGTATAATACTTACTCGCCAAATTTGAGAAGCATCGTTTGTATGAGGTAGAAGCCTTCGTGGTCGTTGGTTTTTGATGCTATTAACTTCTGGAACACTCCTAGCATTGCATTCTGAAATATTAAACAATATTTTGTAATAATTAATTGAAAGACTTATATTTTATAATATGACTATAATATAAGAAATTGGTTTGTAGTTAGATTTTATCATTGAATTACGATTTGAGTTAGAAACAAAATGTGTTACTTTAATGTATGTGGTGGATCCCTCATTCTTTTTCTAGACAAAAGATATTGAATGAATGTCAGAAAGGAATGAATGAAAGAAATGAAAAAACTCCTCACCAGCTTCCCGGAGGCGAGCACGAGGTCGGAGCAGTGCAGCACGTAGGCGCACAGCAGGCGCACGAGCGGGCGCACGTTGGCGGCGCGCTCCCACAGCGGCGGCGCCACCAGGCACGGCAGCAGCGCGGCGTAGGCCTCCGCCCCCGCGCCCGCGCCCCCGCCCGCGCCCGACGACCCGCGCAGCTCCAGCAGGAGCGACAGCATTTGGAACACGTACGGCATGAACTCTGAAAGGTAGCAGATAGTGATGAACGTATGGACGCCTTCACGCTTTAATATAGGAATTATTTTTTAGACCGTCAGTTGTCATTGGCTTCACTACATAGTATAAAACAAATTCGCTTCCCGCTGTCTGTCTGTATGCTTAAATCTTAAATCCTATGTATGCTTAAATCTTTAAAGCTACGCAACAGATTTTGATGAGGTTTGTTTTAATAGATAGTGATTCAAGAGGAGGGTTTACAGAATAACCGAGAAATTCAAAGATTTCTATTTCATACTTACCGTCAAAACGTACATAGGGACGAACCCGAGCGAAGCGAGGGTGAGTCGCTAGTTTACATATATTATATTGTCAATTAATTATTCTCTTAATAAAGTTGTTTTCTATAACCTTATGCCTTTGATAACATTTCATCAGATAGATAGATACTTTATTTTTATTGCACACCATACTCTTGTGTGCATAGAAGTGATGCATAGAAAAGAGAAATATACATACAAAAGAAATGAACAGCACACAAAGAGCGAAAGAGAAGATGGAGTGGAAGAGAAATGTGTCGGCTAATTTTTTTTTATATTACGCGAACGTTTTACAATTTCAATAAGAGTATTTTTTACGATTTTATATTTATTGATTTTTAATTTGACGTTTCAGTAATTATAGACTAACATACAAGTGCCTAAATATAAAGTTAATACATTAATTTATTAAAATACAATAATTTAGAAGAAAAGAGAAACAGCAAAAAAATGCCTTATAATTTAAAAATTTGATAGGTAAGTCCAATTGGGTTTGATCTATATTCTATACATATAATAAAATTGTAACTAAGCCGAATCTGTACATTAAATATTTTTGGAAAATCTTATTGAAATAAACATTATTATCGATACAGAGGCTGAATCTACAGTTTTTAGAATTTTTGTTTGTCTGTCTGTCTGTTACCGCATTACGGAAAAAACCACTGGAGGGATTTTGATGAAATTTGGTATGGTGATAGCTGGCGGGGATAGCTGGTTATCCGGGTCAACATATAGGATACTTTTTACCGGGGGAAAATATCTCATTTCTGAGAAAAAATACGAAAACTGCAATGTAAGAATATACTCATATGTAAAACCTAAGAATTTGGCTTTTGGTCACCTGAACGCGGGCGGAGCCGCGGGTAGTGCTAGTATAGCTATATACATAATTTAAAAATATTTAATGCGTTTCTGAAATTAAAAACCAAATTCCATTATTATTATAATGATTATTTTAATATTTTTTAAGGATCGTAATAAATAAACATGTTGGTACATTAACACCCAGCACCATCTAGTTCCATAGTAAGCTACGAGGCCTGTGTTATGGATAACACATAGTTGATACACCACATATATACATATATTTTGTATAACTACAACAATCGTAATTAGAATTATTTGTATTTTTTTATTATAATTTATAAGGTATTTTATTTCAACATAATAATAATTATTATTAATGTCTTGATATAACAAATAAAATATAAGAAAAAGAAGTTTTTTTTGTTATATTTCACAATGCACTATATAAACTATTATATTACAGCATTACCTTGTATGTCATTTTGTAAAATATCCTGGAAGATCGGGAACAGCGCGTCTTCAAACGCCGTGATTGCGCTTGGGTTGGACTTTACTACTAACCTGCAAAGAAAATTCATTAAAATTAAGCAAAAAAAGTTGAATTTTCATATATATTTATAAAAAAAATTGTATTTATTATTCACTAAATATTTCTATTTATTCCTTTTTTTTGTTCACAACATAAAATATCTATATTTGTGAATAATTAAATATATTTAGTTTTTATCAAATGTATTAGTTGACGTCAGCACTAAGAAAATAAAAAAAAACCATACAGCAGGTGATCATTGATTTTAACGAAAATGCTGACAAATGCAAGTATAACTTACTATGTAGTTCCAACTTGTTAGCTATCGATATTTTATTATATTAAATTCAGTTATAGAAATGTTTTGGGTTCGTTTAAACTGAATTAATTCCCTTTTATTATTTAAAAAAAAAACTTTTCGGATTTTTTCGCGGATTTATTTTGATTTTTGGTTCTCGACGTTTAGATTTAGAATTTAGTTTTTTCGTAATTTGTAATGTTTCTTTGAATTCACTTTGCTATTTTATGGATAGGCTGTAACCACTATATAATGCCTTTGAGACATTTAAAACCTTAGTCTCTCCCGCGACCATGATTGCTGTAAACCATTCAAAATGTCGGGAACCAAAAACCAAAATACATCTGCAAAAAAAAATTAGAAAAAAATTAAAATTTAAAACGTCAAATATTCGCGTGAATCTAAGAAAGTAAAAAAAACCAACTCACTGCACAGCCAATGAGAGAGTCTCGAACAGATAGTGATTGAAGTGTGGCTTGCAAGGGTTCTTGGCGACCTGCGCCAGCATGGCGGCCAGCTTGGGCAGCGCCTCGCCCACGTACGGCAGCGCCGCCTCGCGCAGGCACGCCAGCGTGCGCAGTATCGCTGTTCACATACATACATACTTCATTCATTAATATCTATACATATTATGAAATCGTAACTAAGCCGAATCTGTACATTAAATATTTTTTGGAAAATCTTATTGAAATAAACATTATTAGCGATACACAGGCCGAATCTATAGTTTTTAGAATTTTTGTCTGTCTGTCTGTTACCACATCACAGAAAAACCACTGGAGAGATTTTGGTGAAACTTGGAATGGGGATAGCTGGTTATCCAGGTCAACATATAGGATACTCTAAACAACATATAGGATAATGCTAGTTCATTAATATATCCTTAAAAAATCCATAATCAAAAAAGACGAACATTTAGTTACTCTTTAAGATTCCGTAGTCAATAGTATAAAAAGTTATTTTTGTAATTTTATTATATATAATATATATAAAGAAGAAAGGTTCGATTTTTTGTTTGTTCGTTTGTACTGAAAAGGCTCCCGAAACTACTGAACCGTTTAGATGAAATTTGGTATGAAGATAGTTTGAAGTCTTGGAAAGGACATAGGATAGGTTTATGCCGGAAATCTTCCCTTAATGGGGTGGAATAGGTATGGAAGTTTGTATTGTATGAGGAAAGAAAAAAGTGTATATATATAATACAGAAGTTCTTCCGACCGGTGCCGACTACGGCGACCAATCTCACTAAGATTAGCTAACAGAACATATTACACTGCAGCGCGCGTGTCGGTGTTCGCACAAACACAAGTGCACTCTCTTATCCTAATACTCTCAAATTCAACACTCGCGGTGAGAGAACAGGCGTAATAACAAAAATTGCCAACATCTCATCTACGAGATTTCCTTAACAGAATCACTCAATAACTAAACCCGACCAGGAACTCGAACCCAAGACCTCCAAATACGCATCCATCCACGCTCGCCACTTCACCATAATATAGGCCACATACCCTTCATGACGTACTCGTTGTGGTCTGCGTCGTGGTCGTGCGCGGCCGGCAGCGCGGCCAGCAGCGCGGCCAGCAGCGCGGGCGCGTGCGGCTGCAGCGCGGCGCGCGCCACCATGCCGCCCGCGATCAGCTTCTCCACGCAGCACGCGCTGTAAGTGCGCACCACGCCGCGCCCGCGGATGTGCTCGATCTGTAAAATATACACATTATTAGACACTAGCCACTCTACATTTACGGTTAGTATGAAATAGATAGACTATATATGAGTATATATACGATTTTTAAAATTAGATAGGAAACATCAAAAGCAATGAACATAAAAATGTTCATAAATTCTGAGCGATCTTTAAAAATTAATATCTAAAGCTGTACCTTTGTAGAAGTTATTACTTTGCTAGGTACTTAATTTTAACGCAGCGAGGAAAAAAATAAAAAAATAATTTTGACCATTTTTAGAATTTTAAAATCTTGAGCAACCCCTAAAAATTTTTTTTCGAACTGATCCTCAAAGAGGATTCTTAAAACATGAAAAATCAACATATTTTCATACAGGACACGAAAAAAAGATGTTTTCTTGCGCCACCCTAATACACAGGTATTCCCCATACAAACTTTCACCCCCCCCCCTTTCACCCTCTTAGGAGATGATTTCCGGAATAAAAACTATCCTATGTCTTTCCCAGGATCTCAAACTATCGTCATATCAAATTTCATCATAATCAGTCCATTGATTTTCTTGTGAAAATTCCCAGACAGACAGACAAGTATTCTAAAAACTATAGATTCGGCCTCTGTATCGATAATAAAAACTATTTCAATAAAAATTTCGAAAAAATATTTAATGTACAGATTCGGACGTTCAGTTATCTGGTATATATATATATATATATATATATATATATATATATATATATATATATATAACTTTTTACTTTGAGAAAATATCTCATCTCTGAGAAATTTATACTAAACGTTAAAACGTTACGAGTCGCGAACCCGAGCGGAGTCGATATTTAGTCATAAAATAGAAAGAGATAAAAATATCATTTGACTCACCAAAAGTGGCAGCACTGTTGTTATTAAGTCATTGGGCAATAGAGATCGGAATGTCATTATATACTTGATGGCGTCTGCTTTTAACACTGGAAGCTCATTCACTATAAAAAAAAAAACAATTTTAGCAACTGTTATTTAATATCTATAATATATTTAACAAACAAGCTGAAAAATGCGTACGTGTATATACACATATTCAACAAGCTTGCAGAATCATCTAGACGCATCTATAGAATGCACCATTCGGCCGCTGTAGTCCAGTTTACACGTGGTTATCCACAAAGGTATTACTTGTACATATCTCATCCTTCTGGAATCTTCCAAAATCATCAATAGTCAGTTTTTAATCTCAGAGACTAAATTGACACATGCAAATGTCAAATTTACAATGTTGGCGGCTCTTTTGTGCTGTAGTGTAGTACCTACGATACCGGTTTGTTGAATCGTAACTTTTTATCTTTATTAGATGATTCACTTCAAAGTTTTATATTCCAAATCACATCATTAAAATTCACATTATCAAATTTAAATTTACATGATTAATTTTGTATTATTACGTTTTAAATAAGTACTTACACATTATTTTAAGATAACTTATTATAAAAAAACGATGGTGGCCCATTACTATTTAAGAGTTGCAAAAAACTGGCAACACATGTAACGTCAGTTTTGTCTCTGAGATTAAAAAACAGACTATAGACGCATCTAGAACCTACCATTCGAACTGCAGTTCAATCTACACGATATCCACAAATAAACCACTTGAGCCTAAACATACATTGAACCTTCTCTAATCTTCCAGAACAATCTAGAAGCATCCAGAACCTACCATTAGGTCTCTGCAGCTCGGGCAGCACGTGGTTGGCCGCAAAGGAGGCAAGGTCAACGAGCGGGGACGCCTTGGTGACGCCGGCCGCCTGCGTGGCGCCGCGCGACGCCAACGACGTCACTAGGAACAACGCCGTGTCCTTCCCAACCCACGCTGAACCACCACTCTCTGCGTACTTGTTCAGCATCATCTGTCGAATATATTCAACGGCTTCTTAATTTTATAACGCTAATTAAGTAAATAATGGAATAATAATTAAAATATTTTTTATTTATCTATACCTATACTAATATTATAAAGAGGTAAAGTTTGTGAGTTTGTGACGTTGTAGAGAATAATCTCTGGATCTACTGAACTGATTTAGACGAAATTGGTTAAGAAGATAGTTTGAGACCCTGGGCGGGACATAGGATACTTTTTATCCTGTAAATCGGAGTGATAAAGGGGGTGAAAATAGGGATGAAAGTTTGTATGGGGATTAATGACTACTCCACTCCCTCGAGTAACAGCATGATGATATATAGCCTATAGCCTTCCTCAAATAACGGGCTGTCTAATGCAAAAAGAATTTTTCAAATCGGACTAGTAGTTCCTGAGATTAGCGCGTTCAAACAAACAAGTAAACTCTACATCTTTATAATATTAGTATTAAATAAATAAATAAATATGTTGGGACATTAACACACAGCACCATCTAGTTCCATTGTAAGCTACGAGGTTTGTGTTATGGATACCAGATAGTTGATACACTACACATATATAACTTTAAATAAAATTTAAATGAATGCCCCCAGCGGGACTCGAACCCGCGACCGCGCGCACAGAAAGTAGGGCCACTACAAACTGAGCCAAACGTGTCGTCAGTATAGATTTAATACAAAAATATTATCCTACCAATGTATAGCCGGCATAATAGCATTACAGTAACTGGCTGTGATCTACGACCTGATGGACATGTCGAAGTTAGATATTTGTGTTTTTGTCCTTTTTTTCTGTTTTTTTTATTGAAAAGAAAACTTGTATTGACGGGTTTGGATGAGGAGTAAATTCATGTAAGTTGTCATCGACATGGTCACGTGACGCTAACACTCTAGTGCCGATAGATGTCAAAACCAGTTAAATGTTAACAGTTTTAATTTACAAATTTTAATTTAAGATAAGAAATTAAAATTAATTTGAATATCCAAAAATAACAACTGTTTGTTTATAGTTTTAAGTTTTCACTTCTGTTGTCAGCCATCATGACTGCTTTTCTTTGCTTATGGAACTTTAACCAACCGACTCACCTCCACATACTGTCCAAAGATACTCATCATCTTGTCTTCGAAATGCAAAGCGAGGGTCCTCACGATGTCGCACGAAGCCCTTCTCCTAGTGTCCACATCTGACCCTTCTATATCTCTTCTGACATATTCTTCTGGATTGTCTTCAAAAAGTTCCATGTCTGATTCTGTTGGAATAAGGATAAAAATAAGTGGGTGCATGTAACCTTTACGCGCGGTTGAAGTAAAACTTCTTTAGCAAATATCGCAATTAAAGTAAAACAAATCAATAATTAAATAAGGCATATTACAATGATATATTTATAGAATATGATATACAGAAAGAATGTAATATTATATATTTGTCAGACAATAAAAATGGTTATCATGGCAATATGGCAATGTATTCTATCTCATTCTCTCGCCGGCTCAATTCTATATATTTATGTGTTTGTCTCTTTCTCATGTCTTGTTCTTTCGTTTCATTGAGTTTCAAATCACAATGATTGTAAAGAAGTTTCACTTCATAAAGCTATTTTATTTAACTTTATTTATATACTACATACAGATAATCATAAAAGAGCATACACATCCACTATTCATTATATATAAATGATAGAAAAACACATTTACGCGTATCGTTGCACGGCTATTATGACAAATCATTTTTCTTTCATTCATCTTTTATCCTATTCTATTCTTAAAATCATATTATGTCTCTTTTACTCTAAAAATATAATTTAACTTCCGCGGTAAAAAGTAGCCTATATCACTCTTCTGCCCTCCAACTATATCCACACAAAAAATCACACTAACCCGTCACTCTGTTCCGACGTGAAAGAAGGACAAACAAACAAACAGACTTTCACATTTATGATATTAGTATGGATTATTAATTTAATAAAAAAATTATATTTATATTTTGATTTGTTATTTTTGATGTTTTCGATAAACACATTGGTGGCAATTTTAAGAGAACTTTTGCATGGGATTGAATATCTAGTACTTTTCGATCAATAACGAAGGCTAAATAAGTTTTACCTCTAAACTCCATGTTAGGTATGACAACTTTTTCACATATACTGCTAAGTGTGGCCGGGTCTTCGAACAGATTTTTGTATGTGTTCTTCTCTGCCACTTTTGCTAGGAACGTTAAAGCGTTTGACACTAACTAGATAAAACAAAATAAAGATAAATATGTATTTTTTTTACATGTCCTCAATCCTGTAAGGGATGCCTCCCTTCGTGCTGAAGGGAGGCCCGTGCCCAGCAGTGGGACATTAAAAAGGGCTGAATACATACATACATACATACAACAATACTCATATGTATAAATGTACAATGGAAACCACACCCTTCCGACCGAAATCCATGTCCGTTTTTCAAAACGAATAGAAGCAGAACTGATTTAGGAAAATATCACCCATTAGTACGAATGTCGCGACTATTAAATGCAATACCAACAGCAGACATGGGTTTCGACACATTTAATACATTTAAAAAGAAATGTTACACTTTCCATTCGTGATGTAAATATTCGTCTAAACATAATTTTTTTTCTACCATTTTTAAAATTTTTAATTTCGGTTTTGTTAATTAGTTTTGTCAGATTTAGTTACACCTATAAACTTTAATGAATGTATAATATTAAGACTTTTCTAGGGCATGTTGTGTTCTTCAGTACATAGGGGTACAGTTTAAACACTGTCCAAAGAGCTTGTATTTTTTGTATTTTTATATGTACTTCTGTTGGAGATCCTTAATAAATAAATAAATAAAAGTATCTTGTATAAAATCCATACAAAAAAATAAATAAATTAGTGGAGAGAGCAAATATTTTTTTTTTGTTGGGACATAACGCCTAACACCATCTAGTTACATGGTAACCTACGAGGCTTGTGTTATGGATACCAGATAGTTGATACACTACACATATATAACTTTTAAATACATACATATTATAAATATATTTGAATAGAACTTCTTCTTGGGCAAGAACTAGCGATAAAATAAGCTTACCGCATCATATTTCGGCTTAGGTCCAGTACTAAGGAGAACATTCCATACAGCTGTTACAAAGGAAGCTGCGTGTGGACCAAACTCCTCTTCATACTTGAGTGCATACAGCGCTGCGCACTCACATATTTCAGTCCTCAGCTGTTCCATTACACCGGGTTTCTCATCATCATCCTAAACAAATATAATTATTAAATAATCACATCTTAAAAATCTTTATTTTGATACTCCACTTGATAGGTTTGGAAAAAAAATTTTTAAAGACACATAAATTGGCACCTGAAAACCGCCATTTTCATTTCAGACTATTTCTATATAACCTACTAATGACTAGCTTGTCCCTAACTTGCTTCCCAATACAAACTTTTATCCCCATTTTCACCCCTTACGGAATAATTTCTGGGATAAAAAGTATTCTATGTCATTCTCAGGGTCTCAAACTATCTTCTTAGCAAATTTCATCTAAATCGGTTCAGTAGATCCAGAGATTACCCCCAACAACGTCACAAACTCACAAACTTTACATCTTTATAATATTAGTATGGATGACACTCGCGTTATCAAGACCTTCTAACAAGATATGAATCATCAAAATCGGTTAAGCAGTTTAGTAATTACGAGGGAACTTAGGGTCGGACTCACATACGAACATACATACATAAAGGTCAAACACATAACCCTCCTTTGAGCTTTGCCACAGTCAAGTAAAAACAATATAAAACCCCAAAAGTAGTAGGTATGTTTTAAAATATGTTTCCTACTATTATAAATGTGAAAGCTTGTTTGTATGTTTGTTGCTCCTTCAGTCTGAAAAAGCTTAACAGATCTTGATGAAATTTAGTACCCAGACTAACACCTGGAATGACACAACACAATGACCCTACCGTGCGGAGCTGGAATATGTTACTAGTTATTGATAAAATTAAGTTATAAGAAATTATGTATATGCACATATTCTATATCATTGTGGTAAAATAAAGCAAATATTGTATCATGTAAATGACATTTATTAGAGAAGATTTGAGAAACATCAAGGGGAAAGACTAAATTCTTTTTCATGCAAATTATATAAATATCTATACAGATAAATAAAATTGAAGTGTCTGTTTGTAATGTCAAAAGAACTGTTTTTTACTAAATGCATATATATGAAAATATATATGTTACTAATTATTAAAAAACTATTTTTAATTTTTTTGTCTATCTGTATGTTACGGCTAATCTCAGAAACGGCTAGACCGGTTTTGACGGGATTTACATTGGCAGATAGCTGATGTTATAAGGAGTAACTTAGGCTACTTTATTTTAGAAAAAGAATCAAGGTAAAAAATTAAAACATACTTTAAAATAAAATTTATCAGTGTGTTAAAATCAGATTATAAATGTTTATAATATTAAATATTTTTAACTTAATAAATTAGCTTCAAAGCTTAGCTAGTTAAAAACTGTTAATTTGACATTACAAACAGACACTTCAATCAAAATTGTATATATAATATCTGTATAGACTAAATTATAATCACACCTGTTCTTTCAAAAAAAATTTTTAACCAACATTCTTAAGAACATGTAAAATACTTACATTCGTTTCCATACATGGCACTTTAGCTTGTAACAAACTAAGAAAATTTGGCATCCATATTGGCATGTTATCCTCAAAGAACTCCGGTAGATCTTGATAATTGAGTGAATAAAACACTTTGCAAATGAGAACTAATGATCCATATATGACTTTTAGGGCTTGAGGATTTCCTGCATGTTTGTTTGTTAGGTCTATGGTTGCCTACAAAATATCAAGTATTGTTGTTTAAAACAAAATATGTATACAAAGTACATTTTTAAAATATATAAATTGTAGTTATTCGATATAATGTGGTGCTAAAGAGAATTAAGATGCGAAAATTTGTAAAAATTCTACTTTATAAATTGTAGATTGAATTAAGATGAATCTGATGGGGGATTCAATAGCGTCCGGCAACTCAGCCGGGAGCGAAGTCACGAGATACACAGAGAGGTGGCCCACTTCGGTGGGCGGTGTACCATGCCGGTTGCTGCTGGTACTTCTCCAACAGCAGAGTGGACCATAAGAGCAACCCCATGGTTGTTGCGACCTGCTTCGGCAGACCTGCCGTCGGGGAGTCGTGGCTGAGTACGTAAACGACCCTGCAACGCCCCATTATAATGGGGGTTAAAAAATCTTAATGGGTTGCACGAAAAAAAGGATAAAACTTTGCACACATAGACATTGCCTAGATACAAATTATAATTTAGACCTATAGTGATGTGTTATTACGGGATGGAATAATGGGTAGCCTTTGTTATTTTAATCAAATTTAGTTCTACGAGTAAATGTGTCAATATAATATGGCACTCCCTAAGGGCTATAAAAAATAATACTTAACACATGGACGACAACAAAGGTTAAAAGTAGTTAAATATTATTGAATTTATACTTCTTTTGGCACATTTGGAAAAAATTATGAGAGTAAAATTTTTACGATGCGCGCGCACACCGACAGCCAAAAAGCGACATGATGAAGTTAGCTGCATTCCTTTTACAAACAGAGAATTGTGACATGGGATGAAATCTTTAGCTATTTTTGTTCTGCCAAAGAAGTAAAACTTCTTACGTGCGTACGTAAGTATACACACATTTTTTTATTTATATATATTTACCACAAAAAGATCAGTCAATGGCTTAGCAAAGTTTTCTAGCACATGCTTAATTTCTTCCCAGAGTTTCTGTGATTTGAATTCATAACGGTACCTCTTGAACAAGGAATGAGCTGTCCTTAACACACCATTTATTACATGGAAATCACCTACAAATAAATACAACAATTTATAAAACCATCTTGCATTTGTTTCATTAAATGCACAAAATTTAATACTTTCTTAGAGTTATGCATATATTGGACATTTTAAATTAAAATCTTCTCAGATTTTTTCATGAATTTATTTTGATTTTTGGTTCCTTATGTTTCAGATGCTTTACTTAATAGATCCAACCACAAAAACTTACTTTTGAGATAATAGGAGTTCTAGTAAAATTGGTATATCAAGATAACAAGACCATAGTTTTTTTCTGAAATTCCTCTTACTTATTGGGTATTTTATCTACTTTCTGTATATGATATGTAGATGCCATTTATGACAGTAACTCAAAAATCGGTTTTCGTAGGCTAGATCTATTTTGCATAACTACATTCACTTATCTATATTATTTAATATTATAAAGAGGTAAAGTTTGTGAATTTGTGACATTGTAGGGGGTAATCTCTGGATCTACTGAACCGATTCAGATGAAATTTGGTAAGAAGATAGTTTGAGACCCTCGGAAGGACATCATCCAAAACAAAATTAATTTTAAAAAGATCTAACAACAAAGAATTGTATTTAAAAGAAGTCATATCAATACACTATTGGAATAAAATTTTTATTTATATACATATATATATATATATATATATATATATATATATACCTGTAGAAAACTTTTCAACCATTTCTGAGATCAAACCGGGCCACTTCTCTGGAAAATCAGATTTTCCAATTATAGAAACAGCATCACTGAATTGTCTTTGTACACTTTCTGGTGATTTCAACATAAGATTCACTATGAGAGTTTTTATTGTTGCTCTATCTGCTGCATGTATGCGATCGACTCCATCCTCTTCCTGAAATTATAGATACAAACTAAATAAAACTTAAAAGCCATGCTTTATAAGTAAATAAAGTGATACTATATATTTTAAGTTAATAAAGGTGATATGTTCATAATATTTAATATAATCGCAACATATCCTCACTTCTATCCCACAGAAAATATGCATTTTTCCAGGATAAAAAGTAACCATGTGCTATACCAGACTATAATCTTTCTCTGTGCCAAATTTGATCCAGATCTGTTCAGCCGTTCTGGTGCGAAAGAGAAACAAACATCCATCCATCTATTCTCACAAACGGCACAAATTCAGAATTGGGGACTTGGCCCCTAGCGGAGTGGGTGGTATTTCTGGATAAGGGACGTGATAGGGAGTCGAAATGTTAAATAAATTTTTTAATACAACAAAAGATTCAAAAGTTATTGAGACTTAAAGTTACAACATTTCCATACATTTTCATATATTTCTTTACCACCATTCGGAGTGGGTGGTATTTTTAGATAGGGGAGGTGACAGAGAGTCAAAATATATTAAAAATATTTGGAGGAAACGTACGACTAAAAAGTTATTGAGACTTAAAGTTATAACATATCTAACACATTTCCATACATTTCTTTACCTAAATAAGTGATTACAACAGATAAACATACCTTTAACGAATAGTACGCATCCTTTTTTATGTACATTACACATTTTCACAACAATTAATGCTTTATTGTATTTAATATTTTAATAATTTCACAACACAAACAAAATGATCTTACATTTTGACAAAAGCAAAACTGACACTTTGTTTTATATTACCGCTTAAATGACAACAGATTATATTTGATTATTTTTGCTTTTTCTGTTGGTAAAATATTAATATTAATAAATAAATAAATAAAAAGAAAAATATTATTTTCACTTTATAAATACATTTATAACTTTTTATTTGATTTATGTAAAATATATTGTTTTACAATTGTACATTTAGTAAAAAAAATCATTTTTTTATCTGTGAATATTTTTAATTATTTATTTATTATTCGTCATATCTGGGTTAGGTTAGGTTAGAACATTTAAGATTATTTATTTATTATTCCTCATATCTGGGTTAGGTTAGGTTAGAACATTTAAGATTATTTATTAATTATTCGTCATATCTTGGTTAGGTTAGGTTAGAACATTTAAGATTATTTATTTATTATTCCTCATATCTGGGTTAGGTTAGGTTAGAACATTTAAGATTATTTATTTATTATTCCTCATATCTGGGTTAGGTTAGGTTAGAACATTTAAGATTATTTATTAATTATTCGTCATATCTTGGTTAGGTTAGGTTAGAACAGTTGCCACAACGCACGAGCCGAGCGAGCGAAGCGAGCGTGCCGCGGTAGCGGCCGGCGAGTGCCATAAATGACTAGAAAACTAGAAAATTCGAATTTCACGCAAAGTACAAATAAAGACAATCATCTGGAGATCATTTTGACAATTGAAAGTGACGTTTTGACTCCAAGTGTCTAAATGGTAGTAATGTCAAAATAATGTATGGAAATGTTATAACTTTAAGTCTCAATAACTTTTGACTCTTTTGTTGTATTAAAAAATTTATTTAACATTTCGACTCCCTATCACGTCCCTTATCCAGAAATACCACCCACTCCGCTAGGGGCCAAGTCCCCAATTCTAAACGGCCGCCTCACAAACTTTCAAATTTATAATATTAGTAGGATTATACACATATGTTACACATCTCTGTGTTAATTATTATTATTATTATTAAATATGGTGAAATCTTACCACAGGCCAGTTTCTTTTAATATAATTTTTGAAGGTGACGGATGCAGCAACTCTTATTGTTGGATCAGCTGAATTTTTGTCAATGAGATGTAAAAGTAGAATAGCATAATTTTGATTCACTTCTACACCTTCCAGAAACTTCTCAGCTACAATATTCAAATTATATATTTCAATACAATTTATATATCCATTATAGATAAGTTATATTTAATTATTTCTTTTATATCAAATAAGAAATATATGTAATAATATTAAATTAATAAGTAAATATGTTGTTTTATAACATGTTTTGTCTAGGTAATAATGTTTCGTTTATATAATATTAACTAAGTATAATAGTATGTACATGAAGTAAACAATTACGATTTCCATTGTAGGTTAGATAGGTTTATTTAAATTCCGAGGGAGTAATGATTAGTAACAACATTCAAATGCATTCATACCATCAAAACTTAATTAAAACGGATTATACATTAATAGGGCATAAAAAATAAAATAATTGTAGCAAAGCTAGCACTTACCCGGTCTTCTAATATTGGGGTCTGGGTTAAGAGTTTGCTGTAAGTAATTTGCTAATGTGGCTAAATTTTCATCAGTCACTTCCATTTTAATGTGTTCGAAAAAAAAAGACTAACAACGGATGTTATTTTTCAATATCCTTATTTTAACAAATACTTTAGTAACAAAATATGAAGACGAAGAATGCGGTACGACGAACGTTTATATATGTAGCAATATACTCTATGGACGAACGACCGTTCAGCTTTGCTCATAGAGTATATTTTATATATGTAGCAATATACTCTATGATTTTGACAAAACTGTCAATTTCCGTTTTAGTTTTACATTACCGCTTAAATGACAACAGATTATCATTTATTTTACTTATTAAAAGTGAATTAGGCTTATTAAAAGTGAATATTATCATGAGATTCATAAGATTTTAAAATAAAATACTGTGTTTAATTTATTATGTAAATTATCTTTGTATTGTTTTTGCCATTTCTGTTGGTAATCTTAATAAATAAATAAATAGAAATATATTATTTTCACTTCATACATACATTTATGACTTTTTATCTGATTTATGTAAAATATATTGTTTTAAAATTGTATATTAATTAGTAAAAAAATTTAAGCCAATAATTTCATTTTTTATCTGTGAAAACTTTTCAGCATTCTTGGCAGGTGATTTTAAAATACCGCAAAGTTTGATAATTATTAATTTGTGAGTTGCTACAGTCTGTACTCAACTCATGTTAAGTTTTCCATTTTATGTTTCTTGCTCTTTTTCATAATTCATTGTGAGTGAGTTAGTTTTAGTTTTGTTAGACTTTTTTTGTAAATATGAATATATTTAAGCTTGCAACCACACATTTAAAAGACAGAGAGACCTGTCTAAACTGGTTGAGGAGTGAAGGACTTTTAATCGGTGAAATAGACTGTCCCGTGTGTAAAAACCGAAGAAAGATAGTAAAAAAAATGAAATTGGAGTGGAATCATGGTTTAGGACGGTTTAAATGCAGAGATAGGCATGACCAAAAAACCATTAGTGCTACTCGGGGTACATGGTTTGAAAATGTCAAAATTTCGCCTGAGAAAGTGGTTCTACTCACTTACGCCTTTGCTCATAAGTTTAATCAGGAGCAGGCTATCAAGGAAACTTCTATAGGTGACAGAATCACATCTTCAGCTACAGTAGTTAATTGGTACTCATACTGTCGGGAAATCTGCATGATATCCCTAGATGAACAATTGGAGACTGAGGGCCAGATTGGAGGACTGGGTAAGATAGTGGAAATAGATGTATCCCTAGTAGGGAAAAGGAAATTTAACCGAGGTCGTTCACGTGAAGGCAATTGGATATTAGGTATGATTGAAAAAGACGGCTCCGGTTATAGACTGGAAATATGTCTGGATAATGAATGTCCACGTGACACTCTATTTTCACTTATTCAGAAGCATATAGCCCCTGGTACAGAAATTTGGACAGATTGCTGGAAAGCGTATGAGGGGCTAGCAGACATACCTGGCAAGAACTACACTCATAAAACAGTCAATCATCGCTCTTTGGGTGTAGGGAGATTTGTAGATCCCACCAGTGGTGTTAACATTCAAGCAATAAAAGGAAGCTGGAAGCACCTTAAATATGGAGTGATAAATGCGGGATATAAAAAAGAGGACCTTGCTGACCACCTGTGCACATACATGTGGCACAGAATCGTGAGAAAAAGAGGAGAGGATCCTTTTGATTGTATGTGGCAGGCAATCAAAAATATATATCCAATAAAGGAATGCAATTTATAAACTTGAGTAGACTATTTTTTAAATTTAAGTGTATTATTTACTTTTGGTTTTTATTTTGCAACATTGTGGTTAGTTTAAGACTTAGGTTATTGTTGTCCCCTGCATCCATCTGCCACCAGGCAGATGTGATTCACATTTTACTTTCTTAGATTTACGCGAATGTTTGACATTATTAAATAAAACTATCTTTTCGGATTATTTCGCGGATTTATTTTGATTTTTGGTTCCCGACCTTTCGAATGCTTTACAGCATCCATGGTCAGGGGAGAGACTGAGGTGTTACATGTCTTGAATGTATAGTTGTTATAGACAGCCTACCCACAATTAACAAAATGAAAATTGCACCAATTACATTTGTATTTTTTAACTTTAAACATTTTTATAATTTTAATTATAATTGAATATGGAAAATTATTTATTTCATTTTTGCTATTATTTTTATAATTATTACAATTTTAAAATATTAATTAGTAATCTATATTTAGTGTTGCCATTATTATATTTATAACCATAAAGAAAAATATAAAATATAGTATTAATTATTAAAGCCATATAATTGTTCTATGTGTAATTTAAAAAGTTAAAATTAATTAAGGATAATCATTTTAATTTAGTTTGCTATTATTTAAAAACAACTCACTAAGCAACACTATTAATATATACTTTTACAAATGAAAAATGAAAAATATTAATCTGATAAGCTGTCATTTTGATCTACACAGTATGAACTTACTACATCTGCCTGTCTGTTATGTTTATATTTATTATTTGATTTTATTATATTAATAACAGGATCCCATGACGATGGTAGTACCCAACCATCTTCCCTATTGAAATTTGGATGTTTTTTAATTTCTATGGCTTCTCGAATCATTCTAGGGCGATATCGGTTTTCTTTCGCCAGGATTTGAGGTCTATCGAAACGAATATAATGGCTTGGGCCGTCCTGGCTATGTTTGCAGACAGCAGATGTTGTATTGCGACGGTGCTTCACATCAGCTATGTGTTCTTTGACCCGGGTTCTAATGGATCGCTTTGTTTGTCCAATGCAAGAGAGCCCACAATCACAATCAAGCTTGTAAACTCCTGCATCTTGTAGAGGGATGTGGCACTTGACAGGTGGTAAGAACTGACTAATTTTCTTTGGCGGCTTGAAGTAGGTTTTAATTGAAGCTCGCTTTAGAATGTAGCCAATCTTGTCAGTGACTCCTTTCATGTATGGCAAGACTGCAGGGACGCGCTCGACTGTGGCTGATTTTACTCGGTCACTGTGACGCAGGCGCGGTACTTGCAGCTTGTTGTCACGCAGAACTTGCTTGACAAGTTGCAGTTCTCCGGCCAGGTGTTGCTCGTCACAGATCCCGCGCGCTCTCTGAAACAAAGATTTTCCCACGGTAGCTAACTGGGAAGGATGGTGGTGAGATTCACCATTCAGGTACCTATCAGTATGGGTCTTCTTTCTATACACAGTATGACTCAAGGTGTTATCTGGGTTACGTTTAATTAATACATCTAGGAAAGCTAAGGTATTGTCCGATTCTAATTCCATTGTAAATTGTATTTTAGGATTTATAGAATTAAGGCGTTCTAAGAATACAGTTATTTTATCAGATGGTAATATTGTGAAAGTGTCATCTACATACCGCTTGTAGAAACGAGGGGTCACGGGTGATGTGTTCAGAGCAGTCTCCTCGAAGTCCTCCATGAAGATGTCGGCTACGACGGGGGAGACTGGCGAACCCATGGCCACTCCATCCACTTGCCTATAGAATTCACCATTCCACAGTAGATAGCCGGATGTTAGACAGTGTTTTAAAAGTTCAATGTATTCTATTGACATGTTGTGATCTAGTAGCTTCCTAGATATTATGTCAATACAGTCTTCCACTGGTAGGCTGGTAAATAAAGACTGTACATCGAAACTAACCATTGTTTCATTGTCCATGAGTTTTAGGTGTTTAACTTCATTGACAAAATGGTACGAGTCCCTTGTGAACGCTGATGTTTGTCCTCTGAGTGTTGAGAGTACTTTCGCTACTAGTTGGGCCAATTTATAAGTCGGTGTGTCGATTTGACTCACAATTGGACGTAGCGGAGCGTTAGTCTTGTGTATTTTCGGAAGTCCATACAACTTAGGTGGTTTTGCACTGGCGAAAGAAAACCGATATCGCCCTAGAATGATTCGAGAAGCCATAGAAATTAAAAAACATCCAAATTTCAATAGGGAAGATGGTTGGGTACTACCATCGTCATGGGATCCTGTTATTAATATAATAAAATCAAATAATAAATATAAACATAACAGACAGGCAGATGTAGTAAGTTCATACTGTGTAGATCAAAATGACAGCTTATCAGATTAATATTTTTCATTTTTCATTTGTAAAAGTATATATTAATAGTGTTGCTTAGTGAGTTGTTTTTAAATAATAGCAAACTAAATTAAAATGATTATCCTTAATTAATTTTAACTTTTTAAATTACACATAGAACAATTATATGGCTTAAATAATTAATACTATATTTTATATTTTTCTTTATGGTTATAAATATAATAATGGCAACACTAAATATAGATTACTAATTAATATTTTAAAATTGTAATAATTATAAAAATAATAGCAAAAATGAAATAAATAATTTTCCATATTCAATTATAATTAAAATTATAAAAATGTTTTAAAGTTAAAAATATTGTAATGTAATTGGTGAATTTTTCATTTTGTTAATTGTGGGTAGGCTGTCTTTTTTTTTTTTTTTTTTTTTTTTTTTTTTTTTTTTTTTTTTTTTTTTTTTTTTTTTTTTTTTATAGTTGGGAAATCCTATTACGGATACCACCCGACTTCCCCCGGGGTGGTTATGTGGAGACTCTCCGGCTAATGAGACCGGCATACCCACTAAAACCCAACTTCCCCCCCCTGCCGCCATGTGGGACGCCACGGGATCGCTCTCGCATACAACCGCGACGCCCCGACAGTTGGCCGAAGCCACCAACCATGAGGCCGCCCCAAGCGGGACAACCTCATTATGGGAAGACTATCAACCCAAAAAGAAGTGAGGCCGCTCCTAAGTCCACTCTGCTGATCAGAGAAGTACCCGGAGCAGCCCCACACCACACAAACACCGCCCACCGAAGTGGGCAACCTGCAAAAATAATAAACCCCACCCAAATTGGGCAAACCCCCCAAAGACGCCCGCGAACGAGCCCAAACACTGGGTAGGCTGTCTGTAACAACTATACATTCAAGACATGTAACACCTCAGTCTCTCCCGTGACCATGGATGGATGGATGGATGGATGGATGAAAGGTCGGGAACCAAAAATCAAAATAAATCTGCGAAATAATCCGAAAAGATAGTTTTATTTAATAATGATTCACATTTGTCAGATCACTTTGATTTAGTCTGTGATAAACAGCTGATGCTATTTCATTACTTTCTTTAAAGTGCTCGTTCTCAGTCCACACATAAGAATGAGAATGTTCTTTATCTAAAGAGTCTTTAGAGCATCCACAAACTATCGCAAAATTGTACAAATATAGTTGTCTACTATAATATTTTTATTTTAAAATATTCTTTATTTAATCCACATAAATTATTAAATTAAGTACATTTCTAGTGTAAATTTAATCCTAGAAGTACATATTAAATACTATTATATTTGTTTAACAAGTACACAAACTTATATAAAACTTATAGCAAAAGGTAACATGTGCATATAAATAATATTTATTAATAATTGAACAGTATATCATTTAAAGTATGTAGGCTTTAGAAAAGCGATTACATTTATATCATAATTTTATACAAAGAAAAATAAACCGTGGTCGGTAGATGTAAATAAAATACCAACTAAAAGCAGTCAGCAGTAAGCAACAAGAACGTAACATGTTATCTATCGCACACGCAGGCGAGTGAGCCCGTACCGCGGCGCGCGCGCTATTTCCGATCTTATATCACACGGTAATGAGATCGGGAATAGCACTCGCGGCGGCGGCAAGAGCACACGCGCCTGTGTTGACGAATGTTCCTATACAAATCGTTCATAGTCTAGGAATAAGTGATGCGGCAATTTGTATCGATTATATTTATCGACATAAGGAAGATTATTTTTACGACTTTTACATATATTATTTATTAGTTTGTTTTTGTGGTTAGTATTTTGATGGATATAGAACTTTTCGGATAATTTATAAATATAAACATCAATTGTTGGAAGACCTATTTGATAATGTAACTTGTGGAGATTAGTGCGAAAGGGAGTATTAAAGGCATATTTGATAGCTTTATTTTGTAAAGTCTGTAGCTTTTTAATGTTCGTTTTGCAGGTGCCGCTCCATACGGGGCATGCGTAGGTAATGCATGGACGTATCAGGGTGCAATAAATACGTAGCTTTGTGCTACTACTTAGACATGAGCGCCTATTTAAGATTGGATTTAGGGCATTTAAAGCTTTAATACCTTTAAGTCGTAGAGTACAAGTGTTTTCGGTCCAGTTGAGTTTACTGTCGAGCTTTAAGCCAAGATATTTAACTGTTTTGCTCCAAGGTATAGTATACCCTCCAATTTTCAGCGTTCGAGATGGTAAAGTTCGCTTTCTAGTAAATAGAATAGCTTCTGTCTTAGATGCATTTATTTTAAGCTTCCATTTATGGAAATAGAATAGAAGTTGATCAATGGAGAGTTGAAGTCGATCTATTATCAAGTTTATATCTGAGGAGGTAGTAAAAGAGGCTGTGTCATCTGCAAAACAGGCTAAACTTGTCCGTGGTTGAACCGGGATGTCGTTTAGGTAGAGAAGAAACAAATATGGTCCTAATATTGAGCCCTGTGGCACCCCTGCGGGTATTGATTTTGAGATAGATGAGTAACTATTGATGTGGACTCGAAAACTGCGATCATTTAAGTATGACTGGATGATTTTTATAAGCGGAAAAGGCAGCCCAAGTCTTATGAGTTTATGAAGTAAGGCATTGTGCCAGACAGTATCAAAAGCT